GGTCCTATCCAACTAATAAGAAAAAAAATCAAGTATTACATCTACATGTTTGGCAAAAGCAGTTCTTAATCAGAATGCAAATAGATTTATGAGAGAAGAGTCTTAGCAGAAAATCCCCCTCTCTCATCCTACTCCCATATCTTTCCTTCAAGCCATCTTCCCAATGTGCCACTTTTCTGCCAAAACCCAGAAAAAAAATTGTTTCTAACAGTGACTGGGATTTTCAAATGAGCTCAAGGGAGTTAAGCTCTGAATTCCTATCAAATTTCCCTGTGATCTGGGTGCATACCTCCCTTAGGATCCTTTGACAATCTCACCCCCTGCATTATTTTAGCATTCAAATCAGTTATGAACTCTTCTGTATCCTATTAAAGTTATTAATTGTATGGCTATAATGAGTTCGTGGCTATAATTCCCAAATGTTACTCATTAATACAAACGTTAATGCTAAAAAGATTGTAATTTATAATTATTGAAGTCTTTGAACATGTCTGCAATCTCTTCTGCAAAACCTGTGGTTTCTTATTAAGAGACTTAATTTCCAGGAAACGCATCTTACAAAGATAATTAAGGTAGGGAGTGTCAGAGGCCTTATTGTGGGAGGCCTCTCATACTTTGATCCATTGTTCCCTCTGGCCTTCCTGACCATCTGTATGGGCTGAATCTTGCCCACTGAAATCAATCGGAGTTTTGTCTCTGTACTTCAGTCAGACCAAATCAAATCATATGTTTTGGAAGAGGTGGGGGAAGGTATCTAAGGCAGATGTAGGAGAGTACTGGTGATACTCGGAGCTAGTCTCATCATCCTTTTTTGGAGGAGATTCCCCCCACTCCCCACATAGCTGATTAACTGAGTTTTCCACATTCCTGGCAAGGTTCACAGGGCAAAAAGATGGCAGCCACCTCCCAAGAATAGGAAGGGTAGCAAAGTGTCAAGGACTTGTATGTCGTACAATAACAGTGCTGTTAATGAGAGTCTATACAAGCAACCTGAAAGGGCTTGGTTGGGATCCTCCCACAAGGACTCCTGCCCAACGTTACGATAACAAGGTAAGCTTTGGAGAAGGAGGTGGCTAAAAGACAGAAAGAATGTTTGACATATAGGATGGGACCTTACTACCATACACAGGCACAACACACCACCATGGGTAAAGTGAATGGAATATCATTGGCATAAGAACAGTGAACAGAGTGGTGATTTAGGAACAAGATTTTAAAAAAGAAATAAAAGAACAAATAAATGTACAAAATTAGATGAATTCTAACAACAAAAATTTGTCCAAGTTTGTCCATAAAATTCGAAGAAGTGACATTCTGGACTTTGATACACTTACAGCAGTACTACATTTATTGGGGCATAACTAAAGAGTTAGATTTGAATTAAGTTAGAATCTGTTACATTATATGGCAGAAAAGGAGGATTTATATTATATTATACATTTGAAATCCATAGTCAACACTTACTTCCCAGTTGAGGTATGCAGGTGTATAATTTCAGTAGTTTAAGGTTTTTCTTTGAAAAATGCAAATGCAGTGTAAAGTTAAAGCATGCATTCTCCTGTATGGAAGTTCTGCTGTAAATATGATGTAATGTTCTGTAAGTGCAAAGGACAGAAATGAGCCAAAGTCCAGTGATTATATCACTAAGATCTTAGCCATGCACTGGAGGTTTTGAAATGGGTCTGATTTTTTAAGAATTCTGAAGTACATTTATTTTCCTACAACAGCTGGAATCAGAACCATGGTCGTAAACCAGAATTACTTGGAATGGCTGAATTTGGTCCTTAATATAGATGCTGCCTAATGGAGAAACCCACTGCAGATGGCTTTTCCTCCTAAATAAAGTGGCAACCTCAAATCAACAGAATCTATTATAACAGTAAAAGTTGTGGTTTGGGGAGATTACGCAGAGCTGCAATAAGGCTGACAATGCTGGACCATCTCATGGAGGCTTGTTGCTTGCCCATCTCCAGCTGAGGGGTGCCCCGCTTGGCAGCCCTGGCATAGCATGCGTGTGTCACTTGAAGGCATTCCAATTAAGTAGAATTATCATTCTATTTAAGCAGCAGTCATTACCATTTATCATCATTAGGTTTAAATCAGGCCTGCCAGAGACTGTTAGTCCTCAGAACAAGCATAACGTTCTTTCTCTCTCTTTCTTTTGGTTGGCGGGGCGGGGGTGGCAATCCTTTTCCTGACAGGCTGCTAAATTATGGAAATATTTTCTTTTCATACACTTCTGATATGTTCCTTTTTGGGGTGTATGGTTGATAGAAGATTATTGTTGCTTTCCACTGTGAAAAGTTTTAAATTCAGTTCTTTTGTGCTGTGTCTAGAGACAAATGGATGTATAGTAAGATTTTAAAATTAAACTTGTAGATTTGATGGGGGGGGCCCCCAATTAAGTAGATTTCTTGATGGGGGAGGGCATTATACTACAAAGTATACTGCTAAATATAAAAAATTCCAATACATAGGAAACTGTTCAAATATTTCTGTATCAAGCCTCATAAATCATTCACACTATATCTGTTTGCATAGATCCAAGAACTAAGAGTTAGATAGTTTGTGATTTCACAATCATTGCGTGCCAGCAAATGTTAACATAGCCTCTCTTCATAATGCATGTGCACCATTCACATATGTTTTGTATGAAGGAGTAAATAACCTGCAAAGTTTGAAGTACATTGCATACCCAATTTCATTAAAATGTGCAGTCTTTAATTATAAGTGCAGAAAGGTTGGATCTGGCTACCTATAATCTTTAAGTTTTAACTAAAGTTATTGTGACTAAAACTCTTAAACCCTAGAGGTAAGCCTTTACTTTCATTAATTGTCATTCTAGCCAGTCCTGGTCCCAAAAGAAATGAGGACAAAGATGGCAGCAGTCCAAAAAAATAAATGGGGGCCTTTAGCACCATCTGCTTCCTACAAGCCAGCCAAAAGAAGGAGAGGGCACACCTGGAGGCAATGGTATTGAAATGCCATTGAGACAAGTAGTCCTGGCTCCAGTGGCAAAAGGCCATATAAACAAAGCCTGCTGAGTGGCTTAGTGAGGAGGAAGAGTATTATTTGTTTAACATCAGGGACATAGTGTCTTCTGCATGTATAGCCAGCTCACTGCCCACTGTGGATACTTCCTTAAATAATGTATTGAAGAAGACATGCAAGGTATGAGGGCTGGAGGATGCAGTCAATGCACACAGTTTTTATATACATTTTTCTCAAACAAATAAACAAACACATGTACCTGGGAAGAGCAGTGATAATAAAGTTATGTTTCTAACTCTTCAAAGATTGTGAGTTTCCTCCTCCGTCTAATAGCTTCCTTTCTATAGCATGAGTTTCATATCAGTGCTTCACTTTAAAAGCAAGAGTTTTCTGAATACATGAATGCAGGTAGCTGGTTCAAAACAAGTGCCACTGCATAGAACTAAAGGCATTTTAATCAATGGTTTGTCAAGCTGCTGAGATTCAGAGTGACACAGATTCAATTCAGAGACAAAATGCAATATGGTTATCCGCAGCAAACTAGACTAAGCCACAGCTCGCTGAAGCCCTATACATATGAATAGTTCACGATCAGAATCCAATTAAGTAGGGTTCACATCACCATAGATCAATAAGTAGTGATCAAATGATTGATTACATGTCAGGCACATCGTACTGCCCTCCGGCAAATTCAATTTTACTGGCTTTCCTAAGCTTATGAAAACCAAAT